AGCATGGGGGTGACAACACTGTACAGTACTGAAATCAGTCGGTCTTTTGACAATGAGTAAGATGAGATGGGCCGTACATATGTAAAGATGGAACTACCATAGTAGAGAAGGACAATGACCAGGTGGGAGGCACATGTAGAAAAGGCCTTTTGCCTCCCCTCTGAAGAGCGAATTTTTAAGATAGCAGAGATAATATAAAGATAGGAAATAAGGATACCCAGGAAAGGAGCCCATCCAATGAAGACCCCAATGATGCGTATCACCAGCTCATTGACAGATGTATCTCCGCAAGACAAGACCAACAAAGGGGGAATGTCACAGAAGAAATAATTAATCTGGTTATTGCCACAGAAGGGCAGGTGGAAGGTCAGCACAGTGTGCACCACTGAGTTGAGAAAACCACTAATCCAGCAGAAGGCTACCAACTGGCTATACAAGGTCTTATTCATAATTAATGAATATCTTAAAGGTTTACAAATTGCAATGTAACGGTCGTATGCCATTGCTGCCAACAAAAGACACTCTACCCCCACAAAGAAGAGGAAAGCAAAAAGTTGAGTCACACAGCCCCCATAGGAAATGTGCTTATTCTCTGACAGGAGATGCACCATCATCTGGGGGACATTGGTGGTGGTATAGCAGATGTCAAGAAAGGCCAAATTCCTCAGAAAAAAATACATGGGGGTATGTAGTCGGGGATCAGCTATGGTAACCAAAATGATGAAGATATTTCCTCCCAGAGTACAGAGATAGATCATAAGGAATATGGCAAAGAGTAAAAATTGCAAATCATTTAGGTTGGAGAATCCCATGATGATGAATTCGGACAGAGCTGTTTGGTTTTCTCCTTCCATGATGTTTCTTCTTGGGAACTGAGAAAGATGCAGCACAAATTATAGTATTCATGTGCTGCAACAGCAATAATCTACAAAACAACAGAAGAGCTTTATAGATGATACAATCATTGTCCACATCGGGATAAACACTAGGACATATAGAATCCAGGAGTCCTGGTGACACAGTGG